GAAACCACTCTCAACTAGAGTTTCAACAAAGATTACCTCCCCCTGAGTTATCAATAAGGTCACGGTCATTACTGTAGCCTGACGACACCTTCCGTTTTTATCCTTCTCAAATTATCGAAAAGGTATGTTGTTTCACACTTCTTCTGCATGGACTCGGATAGAAATATATTGTAAGCTATCGACTCCACAGTTATGTGGATCGCTGTCGCGATTGAGAACATTTTTGACGCGAAATCCATGCGTTCTTTGTGTTTTCGAAGTGTCAATTTGAATCACTCAGTTTTACCAAATGAAATGGCAATGTTTGAACGTAAAGCAGACTAATTGTTTGGCAAAATATCTATGGAAAAGTATGCCGCCATCTTGGATGAAGATAAAATAAACTTACGACAGGTATGGGGCTATCTTAGATTTACGACAATCTTAAGATATCTTAGGGCAACGATAGTTTCGAAAATATGCTACGATAGCCTACGATTTCCTTACGATAACTTTACGATAATTTTAGGGCTACGATCGTTTCGAAAATCTAGGCCCTGATTAAGGCCAACCGTCCCCTTCTGTTTAATTTACACGTTCTTCTTCTTACTTCTGTTTAACAGGACCTTCTTCCTCCAACTTCTGTTTAACAGGACCTTCTTCCCTTCACTTCTGTTTAACAGGACCTTCTTCCTCTCACTTCTGTTTTACAGGCCCCTCTTCCTTTCATTTCTGTTTAACAGGACCCTCTTCCTCTCACTTCTGTTAAACAGGGCCATTCTTCCTCTCACTTCTGTTTAACAGGGCCCTCTCCCTCTCACTTCTGTTTAACAGGACCTTCCTCCTCTCATTTCTGTTTAACAGGACCACTCTTCCTCTCACTGTTTGACAGGACTTTCTTCCCTTCACTTCTGTTTAACAGGACCTTCTTCCCTTCACTTCTGTTAAACAGGACCTTCTTCCTCTCACTTCTGTTTAACATGCCCCTCTTCCTTTCATTTCTGTTTAACAGGACCCTCTTCCTCTCACTTCTGTTTAACAGGACCTTCTTTCTCTCACTTTTGTTGAACAGGGTCCTCTTCCTCTTCTGTTTAACAGGACCTTCTTCCTCTCTCATCTGTTTAACAGGACTCTTCTTCCTTTCAATTATGTTTAACAGGATCCTCTTCCTCTCTCATCTGTTTAACAGGACCCTCTTCCTCTCACTTCTATTTAACAGGACCTTCTTCGTCTCACTTCTGTTTAACGGGACCCTCTTCCTCTCACTTCTGTTTAACAGGATCCTCTTCCTCTCTCATCTGTTTAACAGGACCCTATTTCTCTCACTTCTGTTTGACGGGACCCTCTTCCTCTCACTTCTGTTTGACAGGACCACTCATCCTCTCCCTTCCACTTAACAGGGATCTTCTTCCTGTCACTTATGTTTGAAAGGACCCCCCTTTCTTACACACATGTAGGTGAGAAACCCATATGAGATAACTGGTATCAAACATATGTTTGAGATCGAATTCCAGGCCAGTGATTGGCTAATCAAAGGTGATGACCTGAGGTCAGATTATGACGGACTGCTTTTCTGATCGAAAGACATTGATAAGTTACTGGTGCTTCAGCCGAATGTCGACCTACGTCCGTGTTGAACGTTATGGTTTTAGAATGTTAACCCCCTGGATGTCACTCATATATCCCTCCTCTTCAACTCTCACTTGGAAGTCGAATAAAATTTAAGATACATCACACATACTAATAGTTTTGAATTCTGTGGGAAATTCCGTCTTCTGTGATATCATCCACTGTCAATTCAGGCAAATCAAAATGACTGAAAGTGTTGGTAAATCTCGCCATTTTTATACATTACAGGGGCGGTCGGGTAGCCTAGTAGTTAAAGCGTTCGCTCGTCACGCCGAAGACCCGGGTTCGATTTCCCACATGGGTACACTGTGTAAAGCCCATTTCTGGTGTCCCCTGCTGTGATATTGCTGGAATATTGCTAAAAGCGACGTACAACCATACTCACTCACTCACTTATACATTACTAAATTACCATTCACAGCGTTATTTGCTGTGTGTTAAGACATCTAAATATCGGACATTTAGTCAAAGGATTAAATTTCAAAGATAGCATATTAGCGATTATGGCCCGACGGGTATCTGTTTTTCATCAAACCACCTATGATAGTTCTGAAATGTAATTTCCGCCATGTTGTATAGTGTTTACAAAATCACGCCTATTAGATCGCGTATATTTCAAACTCAGCTGCGATACATGCATCCCTGTATTCCTCATACATTTTAGACTAAAATGACAAATGGTCTTTGTCACCAATACAAATTATCTCGATTAAATCAAGCGAAATAAATTATGTGGGGAAACGAACACTGTGCTCGGAAAACTGTGTTTGTTGAAATGTAAACAAAGCAAAATTCACATTTTACACTGTGTAGCAATTTCTCCTATTTTGAGAGATCCATTCTTCTAAGTGTTGCATACATTGGCTCACGTGTTTTTACACATTACAATGATCAGATACATTCAACAGAAATCGTAAACGTTTGCGTCCTGTGTGACGCCATGACTGACGCACAATCACGCTCAACGACGACGGCAGTTATCTGCCTTCCTGACTAATGTTCAATGTTACGAGGGAAACCATAAAAAAAATAACAGTACGCAGATTGTCAGACTGTATCTGATTACCTACATGACACATTTATGTATTTACGATCCCTCAATGAAAGAAAATCCTTATCTGGAAATCCCGCGTACTATTATCAGTGAACATTTTGTAAAAGTCGTTCACCGGTAGTGATGTCATACGGAAGTAAATATTGTTATTTGTCATTGTGTGTACATGTGTGATGGTTGTCATTATGTGTTCATGTGTGACGACGTCATTGTGTGTATATGTGTGATGGTCGTCATTGTGTGCACATGTGTGGTAGCCGTCGTGTGTATATGTGTGGTAGCCTTTATTGTGTGTACATGTTCGATGACCGTCATTGTGTATACATGTTTGATGACCGTCATTGTGTGTACATGTGTGATGACCGTCATTGTGTGTACATGTGTGATAACCGTCATTGTGTGTACATGTGTGATGACCGTCATTGTGTGTACATGTGTGATAACCGTCATTGCGTGTACATGTGTGATGACCGTCATTGTGTGAACATGTGTGATGACCGTCATTGTGTGTACATGTGTGATGACCGTCATTGTGTGTACATGTGTGATGACCGTCATTGTGTGTACATGTGTGATGACCGTCATTGTGTGTTCATATGTGATAACCGTCATTGTGTGTACATGTGTGATGACCGTCATTGTGTGTTCATGTGTGATAGCCGTCATTGTGTGTACATGTGTGGTAGCTGTCATTTTGTATACATGTGTGATGACCGTCATTGTGTGTACATGTTCGATGACCGTCATTGTGTATACATGTTTGATGACCGTCATTGTGTGTACATGTGTACATGTGTTCGATGACCGTACATGTGTGATGACCGTCATTGTGTGTACATGTGTGATAACCGTCATTGTGTGTACATGTGTGATGACCGTCATTGTGTGTTCATGTGTGATAGCCGTCATTGTGTGTACATGTGTGGTAGCTGTCATTTTGTATACATGTGTGATGACCGTCATTGTGTGTACATGTTCGATGACCGTCATTGTGTGTACATGTGTGGTAGCTGTCATTGTGTATACATGTGTGATGACCGTCATTGCGTGTACATGTTCGATGACCGTCATTGTGTGTACATGTGCGACGACGTCATTGTGTGTACATGTGATGACCGTCATTGTGTGTACATGTGTGATGACCGTCATTGTGTACATGTGTGATAACCGTCATTGTGTGTACATGTGTCGTGACCGTCATTGTGTGTACATGTGTGATGACCGTCATTGTGTGTACATGTGTGATGACCGTCATTGTGTGTACATGTGTGATGACCGTCATTGTGTGTACATGTGTGATGACCGTCATTGTGTGTACATGTGTGATGACCGTCACTGTGTGTTCATGTGTGATGATCGTCATTGTGTGTACATGTGTGACGACCGTCATTGTGTGTACATGTGTGGTAGCCGTCATTGTGTGTACATGTGTGGTAGCTGTCATTGTGTATACATGTGTGATGACCGGCATTGTGTGTACATGTTCGATGACCGTCATTGTGTGTACATGTGTGGTAGCTGTCATTGTGTATACATGTGTGATGACCGTCATTGCGTGTACATGTTCGATGACCGTCATTGTGTGTACATGTGCGACGACGTCATTGTGTGTACATGTGATGACCGTCATTGTGTGTACATGTGTGATAACCGTCATTGTGTGTACATGTGTGATAACCGTCATTGTGTGTACATGTGTGGTGACCGTCATTGTGTGTACATGTTCGATGACCGTCATTGTGTGTACATGTGTGATGACCGTCATTGTGTGTACATGTGTGATGACCGTCATTGTGTGTACATGTGTGATAACCGTCATTGTGTGTACATGTGTGATGACCGTCATTGTGTGTACATGTGTGGTGACCGTGATTGCGTGTACATGTGTGATGACCGTCATTGTGTGAACATGTGTGATGACCGTCATTGTGTGTACATGTGTGATAACCGTCATTGTATGTACATGTCTGATGACCGTCATTGTGTGTGCATGTGTGATGGTCTCCTCTGTATAACTATCACTGCGACTCAACACCGACATCTGGATAGAGTATCACATTGTCCCATCGTTCCGTATCACGTTACCAAGCATTAAAGCACTATCTCGCTTCTCATTGTCGATCGGAACTCATTTGCGACTGTATAAAAAGAAATATTATGCCCATACGATAACATCTCCACACACCAACAGACCTTGGAATGCGCTCTCCCCATACTTGTCCAGCGTTCACGCGGAATACATCGTTAAGCGTGTTCTGCAGCAAGGCAGGGCCGGGCCGGGTTGGGTTTAGCGAAGTCTGACAGAACCCCATCTCACTAACTGTTTCTGTTATTACAGCCTAGCGTCGACCCTTGTCGGATTCCACTGGAGAGCCACGGTATCTCAGTTGTGACTCACACCTCGCTCCGTATTCACCTTCTCATTCTTCATGGAATAGCGCTCACCGTCACTTGTCTTGTAAGTACCAATCACACATAACTAGGATTATTTCAGTCATTATTTGAATTGCTATTTTATCGAGCAGAGTTCTGTGATTATTCTGTGGGTCTGTTTTCCAAACTAACAATTCCTATTCATTAGGCTATTTCTCATAGGTTTCCCTGTTAAATTACTTAGGAACCATGGACCATAACTCACTTATTCCATCTGGCGTTTTTGCCACTGTTAAACGCAAAGCTTCAGAGAAAAAAACGTATTCACTGAAAAAAAATCACACAAAGTCAGTAGATCGTGTAGTAAACGGTTACGATTCGCCGATTTCAGTTTGGCTCTGAAATAATTAATTTCACTGTAGCTTTATCAAAAATAGCTTTATCTAAAAGTCAAATTCTGTGTGGCAATATTTAACCGAAGAGAATATTCTGCTTAATGATGATTTATTCGTTATAGTAGATGATATATTCATATTACTGGATATAATTTTTAGGTACACTATTAATTTGACATGATAATTGTTATTAAGTGATGCCCAGTTCGTGATGGCTTACGCAGTGGCTGTGCTATACACTTCCAATGCTCATCATATATGCGTGTGGGGTCATACGATGTATAAGATATGATCATGGAGCACGGGCAGTGTCATACTTTGTTTAGATGTCAAACCATTGGGGTCAAACCGTGCCGCCTCACACACAATCTTTGCTGACGCCAAAAATTTTGCGATTGAGGAAATAAGTGCTGCTATAGTGTAATAACGAATGCCATGTTAATGTAAATTTTAGTCTGCTGGTTTGGTTCTGGTTTAACTGTACAACTCGAACTGTCGAAATATTTTAAATTAGTCTATCGCCGACATGGAACGTGGCCGAAAAGCATGGACTAAACGTGAAAGTCAAAGCTTCCGCACTCTATCAAGTAAAGACCGCCTCCGTGGTCTAATGGTAGAGCGTCCGCCCGGAGAGCGGAAGATCCGGGGTTCGATCCCCAGCCGCGTCATATAAAAAGACGTTAAAAGATGGTACTTGTTGTTACCCTGTCTGGCGCTCGGCATTAAGGGGCTTAAACAAGGACTGGTCGGCTGGTTTTCAATCAATGTCGATAGACATTTTTATGTACAGTTATAGGTTACAAAACGCACAGGTGCGGTTATTACAAATATTCAAAGTATGTGTGGCAACAAATCGTTGGAAAATACCCAGAGACTGACTAAAAGTGTATTTCTAGGGAGCAGATACTATTCTATCTCTGACATTGACGCCATGTGTTTGTCTAACCATGGGCCATCTCATAACCGTGTTGAACGAAACCTTGCAAGGTTTGGTTATTTTTCTTCAGGGGTACGTAGTTCATGTGGGTTAACGAAGTGACCGTGCTACACACTTTCAGTGTCATATACGGGCGTAAAGTATGATGATGCAAAGCACAAGAATGTTTGACATACCGGGCCATACCTTTAACACTGTGTTGTCATGAGGGATTTAGCTCGGGAAGGGAGCGGGGGAGGAGGTTGAAGTCCCAGCTCAGACATACACAAATTGAACGGAGCTCTAGCTCAGACATACACCAGTTGAGCGGAGCTCCAGCTTAGACATACACCAGTTGAGCAGAGCTCCAGCTCAGACATACACCAGTTGAGCGGAGCTCCAGCTTAGACATACACCAGTTGAGCGGAGCTCCAGCTCAGGCATACACCAGTTGAGCAGAGCTCTAGCTCAGACATACACCAGTTGAGCGGAGCTCCAGCTCAGACATACACCAGTTGAGCGGAGCTCCAGCTCAGGCATACTCTAGTTGACCGAATCTCCAGCTCAGATAAACACCAGTTGAGCGGAGCTCTAACTCAGCCATACACCAGTTGAGCAGAGCTCCAACTCAGGCATACTCCAGTTGAGCGGAGCTCCATCTCAGACATCCACCAGTTGAGCGGAGCTCCAGCTCAGACATACACCAGTTGAAGTGAACTCCAGCTCAGACATACACCAGTTGAGCGGAGCTCTAACTCAGCCATACACCAGTTGAGCAGAGCTCCAACTCAGGCATACTCCAGTTGAGCGGAGCTCCAGCTCAGACATACACCAGTTGAGCGGAGCTCCAGCTCAGACATACACCAGTTGAGCGGAGCTCCAGCTCAGACATACACGAGTTAGGCGGAGCTTCAGCGCTGACATACACCAGTTGAGCGGAGCTTCAGCTGTGAAACACACGAGTTAGGCGGAGCTTCAGCTCAGACATACACCAGTTGAAGTGAACTCCAGCTCAGACATACACCAGTTGAGCGGATCTTCAGCTCTGACACACACGAGCTAGGCGGAGCTTCAGCGCTGACATACACCAGTTGAGCGGAGCTTGAGCTCAGACATACACCAGTTGAGCAGAGTTTCAGCTCAGACATAAACGAGTTGAGTGGAGTTCCAGCTCTGACACACACAAGTTGAGCGGATCTTCAGCTCTTGCACACACGAGGTGAGCGGAGCTCCAGCCCAATCACCGAGCGGCACACCCTCGCGGTCACCGTGCATAAGCAGCCGGAATTCCTGTCCACACGACGGTGGACATTTCTTGATATCCATCACACAAACCTAGACTATATATATTACAACTGCTCATTTAAAAGGTGCGGGTTAAGAAGAAAGTGGATGGGTGTTAGGCGTCAAACACAAAGGAGGGGTCCTATTGACTTAAGCTATGAAGTAAGGTTGGGTAAGAATGGGCCGATTGACAAGGGAGCGTCGTCATGTAACAGACAATAGTTGACACGAACCTGGATTACAGGATACAATACACATTCTAAATGGTTATTTCCAGCATGTGTCTCTAATTAGTACAGATCGACAACCCACTCTAACATTGGACGCCCGTGAAGATCCGGGGTAGAATAGGTCTTTAGCAACCCATTCTTGTCGTAAAAGGCGACTGTGCTTGTCGTAAGAGGTGACTAGCGGGATCGGGTGGTCAGGCTCGCTGACGAGGTTGATGCAATGCCATGGCATCGTACCCCAATTGCGTGGATCGATGCTCAGTCAATGAATTGTCTGGCTCAATCTGATTACTTACGGACCGTCGTCATATAGCTGGAATATTGCTGAGTGCGGCGTTAAACAACAAACAAACAAATTTGACCCCGCTTCACCAGTTACGAACTGTTTGATTGACATTCTAGAAGTTACTGAGTAAATACGAAAACATCCAACTTTATGGATCAAGATGATATACAGTGCTAAGCGTATACATTTTCTTTGTACAAGGGGGCACGGGTGTCGTCTGAGGCGCTACGATTCGCTATGCAGAGTTGCGTGCCTTGGGCACGCCAGAATCCTATGATTGTGGGTTCGAATCCCTGTTCGCCCCGATTATGTTTCTAGGTTTGTCAGCACCATACCCGTGCTCGTGGGTTTAACGTCGTGGTAAACGTCTGAGACCTTCATCACTTCGGGCTTTCCTTCCACATTTAGCTGAAACGCCGTGATATAACTGTAATACTGTTAAAAGAGGCGTTAAACCCAACTCACTCACTTCTTTGTGCAATGACTGCGATGTTTCGGTGTAGATACTAACGCCGTTAAAATTATCAATTCTTGGTTGTCCCTTGTTCATGATGCCAACTTCTAAATGCCCCTTAAAGAATAGTCCGTCTTACAGACCCTGATACAAATATATATCAAATACAGCCCATGCAAGTCTATTATGTTTGGCAAGTCTAGATTACTGCAGTATCTGAAAAGGAAGAGAGTCACTGGGCTCCCTTTTATTATATTTTTATTAAGAAAACTGAACAACTGTTTTTTTCTGTACGTTATGTTCATTTCAGAGAATAGATGTTAGTCTACTTAAAGAAGTTAACTGAATGAATAACAGCTTCTTGTTTATTGCATTAAGGACATGCCCATTTAGATTCTTACACCGTTATCAAGCTGGAGTGACTACAACCAGGTGATGAGAGGTATAGATACACGACATGTTGTGATAAGCAGCGGCCAACATTAACAACAACAGATAACAGATAACAAGTAGCACTCGAAACGTCAATAAACCAGAAGTTGTTATCCATGAAGTTTATGTTTTCTTACAGGTCTACGAACTTCAGATTTAAATCTGTTATCGGAGATAAACATGCTGTTTTCAATTTTCAAGTAGGTACCTGTAGATTTAACGGCGCTTAATTCAATGTGCGTGGAGCGAACCCACAGCGGGAGATGTGAAATGTGAAATTTAGCGAGGTCAGATCTTCAGGTAACCTAGCTCTATACTAAAAAAACACAGCGTGTTTAGATCTACATGTATCTTCATTCTACCATGATAAAATTAAACGCGAACTCTTTTGGGTTAGCCACGATTTTGAGTAAAGCGGCATAGGGACCCTTTATCTATACAGTAAACTACGGTTATAACGAACTAAAAGGGACCATTACTTTAAGTTCGTTATAACCGTAGTTCGTTTTATAAGCATATGCACAGCATATCTACAGTAGCTGGCAGGGACCAAAAAATAAGTTCGTTATATCGGTCAGTTCTTTATAAGCGTGTTCGTTATAAACGTAGTTTACTGTATATGGTAAAATAGTGTAAACGTTTCATGCTATCATCGCAAACCTGTTACCAAGGAGATGCATTTGGCGCTGTATCTAATAGAACACACAGCAACCCTCTGGAGGACTCTTAAACCAGTCCAGCAGACATCCAAGAGATGGAAATACATGATTTATTGCTAACAAAATTTCTGATGCTTGAAATGGAGAACGTGGCCATATATGTCGCAAATACATTTATGATGTATGGATAGTGGTGTCAGGTATCAATACTTTTATAGGTTTTATTTATTAGATCTGAACAGTGAGCTGAAGACGTATTGATCCGAGAAGTGAGATAAAAGTACCGTTAAACACGCCATGAAAAGAGTGATGGAGCATCATAAAATGTCCAGGGAACTGGTCGTCCGATCATAAGGCGCCGTATTTCGCAGTCTCCCCATTTTCCCCCGTGCCAGAATGTTGTGTGGTGGGTTGGAAACCAGCTTCGTT